AGTCCCTGAACGAGAGACTCGAATCTCTGAACGAGAGAGTCGAATCTCTGAATTAACAATTTTATCGTTCGAGTCCCTCATACAGAGACTGTGAGAGATCCATAAAAACACCTAGGCAATAACTGAGAGACTGTGAAAGACTGTGAGAGACGCTCTTAGAAACGCTGAAATACTCTGAAACACTTTGAGAGACTGGAGAGAGACTGAAAATTTTTGTCTAGGGACCTTGCAGACTAGTGTTTATGAACTTTATAGGTTCGTTTTAGCGATTTCAGCTCAACCCTTACGTTGAAAATCCGCCAAGAATTAATATTTTGTTGGTTTTGCCGGGTACCCGGTTATATGGTACCCTGAAAAATCACTATCCGCTGCATCTCTAGTTTATGATAAATACATTTGTTATATCTTCAATTCTACCCACAGCTTGAGAAAAACCAGTTTTCTGTCGAAAAATACTATTTTAAAGTAGGCGTTCAAAATCGCTGATTCTGTTTTTGAAACGTATCTTTTCCTCTTTTCTGGACATTCTAATTTAGGATGTGGATCATTATTCGGTGCATTTCTAGTTTATAATAAATACAATTGTTATATCTTCAATTCTATCCACAGATTGAAAAAAACCAGTTTTCTGTCCAAAAATACTATTTTAAAGTAGGCGCTCAAAATCGCTGATTCTGTTTTTGAAACGTATCTTTTCCTCTTTTCTGGACATTCTAATTTAGGATGTGGAATACTATTTACATTTAATTGATATTCAAAAAGGATCTGTGAAAAATCATAATGTATTCCCTTGTTTAGGCAGTACATTGGAAATGATGGAGAAAGGAAAGATTCCAAGATATATGAACACATACAAATTATGGTCCGATAATCCGTTTAATGCAGAAGTCGTTCATAAAATTTTAGTGGAAATAGTTGATGAAACAATTGTCAAGCTCATCTATGAACCAGATAAAGTACCTAAACTAGCCAAATGGGCTTCTGGAGCCATAAGGACCAAGGTTAAAGAACTTAATTTCGACAGGTATTTATTTAACACAATATACATATGTAGAATACGTGTGGGAGTTAATTTTTTACGACCTTATCCAAGGCGTTGTATAAATAAAAACTGGTCGAGTCTATCCAAATTTGGATAGTAACTATCGTTGTTGACCATCTGTGCTTTGGATCACGTAAAACGGCGGTCAATCTAATCATCATCATAATTATCATAAGGTCGTCAGTCCTATGACTGGTTGGACACGTACCTCCACTCTTTCCTATCCTGAGCCAATATTCGCATTTCCCTAAAACTAGAACATCCCACATCCTTAACTATCTGCGAACAGTAATCTAACCTAGGTCTACCTCTACCCCTCCTAACTCCTGTTTCTGCCTCTAATATGTCTCTGACTAGACTAGTCTATTTCTTATTGATTTCTATAGAGTCCTTTGTTCTCCTATTCTTTCTAATACCTCTTCATTTCTAACCTTTTCTACCNACCAGTGAAAACTTTTATTGACATCCGTAGAGTCCTCTGTTCTCCTATTCTTTCTAATATCTCTTCATTTCTAACCTTTTCTACCCACGTTATGCTCATCATTCGCCGATAACACCACATTTCGAAGGCTTCTAACCTTTTCTTTTCCGTTTCGCACCCGTACAACGCCGTGCTCCAAACATACACTTTTAACAATCTTTCTCGAATTTCTAAATTAACCGTTCGCGAGCATAGAAGTAACTTGGGCCAAAACAGACGGACCTGGAATCGAACCGGCGTCCTCCCGAATGCTAAGCAATGGTCTAAACTTCTAGGCCATGCCGCTCGGTTTCTATATAGATACAATTTATTCACACTATTTATATGAATTGATTGGGTTTGTACTATACACAGATAAATACTGATAAAGCAACTTGGTCTAAATTGAATTGAATAATAATGATTGGTTGTTGCTTTGCACCCTTCAGGTACCCAGAGAAAGCCCAAAGTGACGTGGTTGGCGAATTGGATTTTCCCAACGTTTAATACCTACCTGAAGGGTGTAATAGAGGCCCCGAAGCCGTCTGTAAGCACAATTTGACGTTAAATATTTGCAACAGAAATCATAACATACAAATATATACGAAAAATAAAACCAGGATAAAAATATACAAATAACGAAACACATCGACACCGAACAACGGATACCGGCATGAGCATTCGTAACTGCGGATGATCCGCAGGGATTTTAATATCCGCATCCTCATCCGGATCTGAACATACTGATGAATAAATTTACCGAATATTTGTTGCGGGGCAATGCTACAATCGAAACACGGTATGTTGAAATTAACATCCAATTTTAACATGTCTCAACATGAAATCGGTTCTTAAAATGTATGAAAATAAAAGGGTTTAACAATACTAATAACTCTACTAAGTATTTTCGTACCTTTTGAAACTCCAAAACAGCTCCAAACTAGTACCACATTAAAAATGATCCGAAAGAGCCCTCAAACAGCGCCTCGCTAAAAAACATACTATAATGGCACCAAAACAGCATCATATACAAAATCAAAAATTTTAGTATCCCTTTCGTGCTGTTTGGGCGCTTTTTTAGTGTAAATGCGTCGCTCTTTCGGTGGTATTTCAATAGCTTTCTGGAAAGCAATCGGTGCTGTATCCATGTTCTTTTCGTACTAAATGCGGTACTGTTTCAGTACTCCATTCGTACACAATCAGCGGTTTAGTCCTGCAAACGGACCTTTTCCGGTAATATTTTAGAGAAATTTATGGAGCTAGATAGATCGTAATTCGGTAGAGTGAAATTGAAAAGAATAACTTTTACTCGGGACACCTAAAGGACCCAGAAGCCTTTTTATTGTAAAGCACAACAATGTTGTTTCGTCACACTGTGTCTGGTTTTATAATAAAAAGAAAACTTGAAGCTCCAATTGTGTGTTTTTTGTTAAATTATGGAAAAACAAGATTGCAAGATTTTTATAAACAATACCAAGTCTTTACTCTACATACAAGAACAACAATAAGATTATTGTTGTTTCGTATATTAGTTGTAGATTTTCTCATCATTACTGTAAATTTTCAAATTTTAGTTGTAGTTTCAAACATTTGATGTCGGTATTTTTGATTTACAAATGAAGTTTTTAAGGATGTTTGGGAGGTATGTCAAAATGCTACGATACAAATAAAAATTTGGAAGAACGTTCCCCATTCAATTCTAAAACTTCTGTAAAAATTACAAATCGGTTCACTAAACCGTTAAAAAGTTATTGAAATTTTAAAAAATTGTAATTTTACACGTCATTTTATGGAGATTCGTTAACCGAACAGATTAAATTTATTTTTATTAACAGAAAAAAAAATAC